ACGAAGAAAATCGATTCTACTAGTGTTAAGAACGCAGAAGAAAGAGAAACAAAGGAATTAGTTGCCAGTTGGCAGCGTGCAAGTCATTTTCTAAATCGAAAGTCACATCAGATATAATCGGAGAAAAGAATCTGATGATAGCATCGAGCACAAAAAGAAAAGCAAGTTGATCAACAAAAAAATTTTTAAGTGAAAATCGTTCAAAACATCTCTTATATTCTGCAAAATTTTTCATCTCTCATTTTAAAATGCTAGTTTTATATTTCTTAAAAAATTAAGTCGGTCAAATCTGGTCTTAACCTATATTTTTTATCACTTTTTTAGCCTAAAAATATAGTATGTGACCTACACATAATCATTTTTTAAGGTGAAAAAGGTCATATCGGATTTGTAGTTAAAAAATTACGCAATTTACATTCGTTTTTGCCCCTAAAAAGATTTGCATGTAAAAAAGTACTCAACTCACATCTATTTTTCCCCTAATAAAGTGGAACTTGACTTTTTACACGTAAAAAAAAATGATTATGTGTAAGTTACATGGTGGATACATGCTAAAAAAAAAAGGCCAGCTACGTAAGATTTAGACTAATTTGACTTGTAAGAGACATAAAGTCAACATTTTAATAGTAAGAGATGGTAACATTCATTTGACAATATATGACGGACATTTTGAATAATTTTTAATTAAAACTAGACTTTCTTCAAATATTGAATAATACAAGTGGAAAATAATAAACAAGAGAACAAAGACAAGCTATTACATGATGGATTAATTCTAGGAATAACAAACAAGAGAACAAAGACAAGCTCTTACATCTAGTTAGAACGTACGGAGGGCATAATCATAACAATTTATTGCAAAACATGATGGATGACAGGTGTCGAACCTGTGCAATAATAATTACCTACTCAAGAAAATTACAAATTTTGTATATAGCGGTGAGTAGGGTCGAATCCACAGGGACTGGGAATAATTCGTTTCTTCTAGAGGTCAGAGTATGGGGGGTTTTTGATGGGAGGAAAATAAAAATAAAAATAAAACAAAAAAAATTCAAAACTAACTCACAAAGCACAATTTACTAAAAATAACAATTAATAAAAGTTCTACCCAAAAGATCAACTGCTCAGGCACGGTTCAATTAAATGCTCATCGATGCAAAGATATTTCATCCATTTATCACTAGGTTGGTTATAGCTATCAACAAGCTCTGACAGCCAATTTTTCCTTACCTTTTCGACAGCCAAGGTACGACCGTTGACTGCTTCTCTAACCAGAAAACAACCCTAGGTACGACCATAGGAATTTAATTATCCAGTTGCATTAAAGCTAGAAAAACCCAACCCTAATCAATAAATACGCTAAGAGGGTTTATTTAAATTAGATCCTGCGCTTCCCCAACATAAAGCCAATTATGGTGGTTGTCACTAATTATCAACTAAACGAACAATTACGGATTCAATTTAGTTAATGAGACAGTAGGCTATTCAATTAAATTAAATATCCGGCCGTTGATATTCAATTAATAAAATACCCTTGAACAATTAATTCAGGAAACGCACGAATAGCAACAAATTGGAAGAAATAATAAAGATTCGATTAGATCTCACAGATGTTATGGACCGCGCCTTCGCGTTAACCTTTGGGTAGAGGAGAAATCTAGCCGCTCCTCATCGTATCAATTTTGCGTGGGTTGGTTGATTTCATCCGCACAATCATCAGCGAAATTGGAACGATGGAGTAATGACGAAAGAAAGAAAAGAAAACGTCTTCCTTGTCTCTGCGTTAATGTTCGTACTAAAGTCGAAGTACAACGCAAAAGCCAACGAAAATTGTACAGAGCCAAAGCCAAAGCAAAAGAGTCAAAAACGTGAAAGCCAAAAAGCAAGAGAAGAGTCTACAACGTCTGACGGCTAGGGAAAAAGGGTCCTCAGCAAACCTTTTCTTTTTGGGGTTTTAATCCCATGCCTCTAGTTCACGCGGGCCTAACTTCTTAATTGCCCACATTTTTGCTGCTACCAATCCCGCGTGTTCGGCTTTTTCACGCAACTCCACGTTGTCTGGCGTGGGCACGCCAGATAATACCTAGTCTTCTGGAATTTGCCCTCTGGAGATTACTTTTAATACCAACCACTTATAATTCGCACAAATATCAAATATGAGCAAAATTTTAATTTTTAGCACCATAAGTAGCCAAAATTATGACAAAATAACAGTGCAAAATGTGCCCAATAATTGCTCTATCAAATCCCCTCACACCTAGACAATGCTTGCCCTCAAGCATTTCGGAGCTCAGAAGTACAACCAAGAGAGCAAAGGTCATGTAGTAATTTGTACTAACACAAACATCTCAGATCCCTGACAATGCTGCCAAAATTAGAGCACACCGGACAAGTGGTAATTCAAAGAAAGTAAATGAATACTAGGAACGCTCAAATCAACATCACGGAATGGCATTACCATAGGCTTGCACATTTATCACATCTCCACCACTCGCAAGTGAACTAAATACACAAATCAAAGGGACTTTAATAAGGTTGTAATGGGGTTTAGGTAAAAAGCGGGACAAGAAGGTAAAAATAGGGTGTAGTGTGTCAAGAGAATGTCTAATATCCACCACATCACCACAACGCTTCATCAGAAAAATTTCACGAGCAAGGCATTTTCATTTGCCATTTCCACTGTGCAAGTGTCGAAACTCTTCCCCTTTTCTCTTTTTTTTTTTTTTTTTTTTTTTTTGAACAAGCGGCTCGCAAGGCGCGGGCACGCCTTGTAGGCTAGAGTTTTCTGCTCATGAGCTTTTTTTTTCTTTTTTTTTTTAATGGAGCAGCTGTCTTGCAAGGCGTGGGCACGTCTTGCAGGCTGGAGTCTTCTGCCCACCAGCTCATTGCCGATTTCTCCCCCTTCCATTTTTTTTTATCTCAGATGCACAGAGCACCATACAACTTCTATTCCGACAACACTTGCCACCTTAGATTCATTTGCCTTGCACAAACAACGGAATTCAGACATCTCTTGACGACACAAGGTTAAACAAGAAAGTCTAAAAAGGTCATGGATTATCAAGTACGGCTAATCAAACAATAGCGAAGGATAAAAGCTCAAATAGGTTCACAATGGGGAGACAAGATGAAGGCATGGTTTTTAGAAAGTCAAAAAAGGTTAAATCCTAAATGCCCTTATCATTTCAAATGCATCCAATTCAACAAAATGTGGTCTCGACATGTATAAAATAGCAAGTTCTAGAATGCCGATACCATGCATGATACCCACTCATTCAAACAAAAATAGAGCAAACAAGAATAATGTGCTCATATAAGGCTAAAAAGCTTCCAAAAGTTTCAAGAATGGGTCAAGTCCAACGTATTCAACACTCAACAACACTGCCAAGGGAAAACAAAATGCATAGCTAGTATATTTACCCACATACCCATGCACCATGATTGTAATATCCATCACAACAACATGCTCCAGCATTAACAAGCATAGAAATAAACAAAAAGCTGACTAACTACAATGTTTTCACTTTTTTTTCATTTTTCCCATTTTTTTTGTTTTTTTTTTTTGTTTTTTTGAGTAACAAAGCAAAAAGAAATAATGGAAGCCACTCCCCTACACCTAAAACCTACATTGTCCTCAATGTAGAAAAGACAAATGAAGTATTAGGAGAAAAGAAGAGAAACTTCCTTGACCACCGGGGAGGGAAAGCGAGACACTAAGGCGGAGGAGGGTGAGGCGGCTGAGTGTACAAGGTGGTGTGGTAGCGGCGGATGCAAGGTGGAGTGGCGGCGACGGACGCAACACGAACAGGAAGGAGAAGACGTCAATTCCAAAACTTCATTCCTTAGGTGTGACGACCTAGCGTGGGGATGTCTAACTGCCAGCTTCCTGCCACAAAATAACAACTCACTAAATGACACTAACACTTAACAAAAACTTCAAAAATATAAGAAAACTAAAACAAAAGAAGTCTTGAGTTGCCTCCCAAGCAGCGCCTTTCTTTAATGTCTTTGGCTAGACATAGCACCACTCTTTAGTCTGGATGTAATTGAATTTTCCTTGTAATTGGTGGCCCTCCTCCGAGATCCACGTGGCCATTGAGTGCAACCTTTTTCCTAAATTTTCTCTCCATTTTCATCTCATGAATTTTTTTCATCCTATAGGACTTGTTCGCAGCAACCTTGAATTTACCCCTATAAGCAAACTTAGAAAATTCTTGCACAGAGGGATTAGTGGCATAAATAGCAAACACAGAATGAGAGTTAACATGATGTTTCATTGTATCAAAAATATTGAAGTGGACTATTTCTCCATCAAATTCCATCATGAGAGTACCCTTACTAACATCAATTTTAGTCTGGGCAGTACTCAAAAATGGTCTTCCTAATATAATGGGTGATGGATTTGGGGCACTTCTATCATCCATGTAAAGCAAATAAAAATCAGCAGGAAAAATTAATCCATCTACTTGCACTAAAACATCCTCAACTATCCCATCCGGATAAGCACATGTACGATCAGCCAATTGAATTATTATCCCTGTTTCTTTTAATGGTCCTAAATTTAGGGAATCATAGATTGACTTAGGCATCACATTAATAGAAACCCCTAAATCTATCATGGTGTTTTTTATACTAGAGTGTCCAATCTTACAGGGAATAGTAAACATACCTGGATCCCCGCATTTGGGTGAAAGTTTCCTTTGAAGTACAACTGATACATTCTCTCCTACCATTACTCTCTCATCACCCCTTAGCTTTCTTTTGTTAACGCACAAGTCTTTCAAGAACTTTGCGTATTTGGGTACTTGCTTGATCACGTCCAATAGGGAGATGTGTACTTGAACTTTGCGGAACACATCTAGGATTTCTTTTTTCTTTTCTGCCCTCTTTGTCTTTTCCAACCTGCAAGGAAAAGGAGCTGGATTAGATTTAATAGGGATCGAAGGAATAGATGTTACCTTAGGATCTTCGCGAATGCGCCCTTCCTCTTCAATCTCCTTTTATATCTCCTCCTCACTTTTGCTTTTCAAATTTACCAACTTAGGTCCCTCCACCTCTTTGCCACTTCTTAATGTCAGGGCGCTTACATTCTTGGGATTTGTCTCGGGTTGTGATGGCAGTTTCCCATAAACGTGGGACTCCAGGAGATTAATGGCAGTTGCCATTTGATTTATTCGAATCTCCATGTCTTTCATGCCTGCTTTGGTGTCCTGTTGGAACTGAGTAGCGCTCGCGACCAAGGATCTAGTCTCTTGCTGGAGTTGAGCAGTGGTCATGGCCAAACTCTTGACAATTTCCTCCAAAGAACTTTCTGAGCTAGAGGACGAGGGTTGAGACTTTTGTTGCCACGGTTGTTGGAATCCTGGTGGACGATTGGAGAATGAATTCTGTGGCCTATTCCCATAGCTGAAATTGGGGTGATCTCTCCAACCCGGATTGTACGTGTTGGAGTATGGGTCGTACGGTCTTCGAGGCGCGGACACACCTCCAGCCATGTTCACTGGTTCAGCCACATCCTCTTGCAGCAAAGGGCACGAGTCAGTGAGATGGCCCACATTTGTGCAAATTCCACAGGCCTTTGCTTGATGCATGTTTCCCACAGCTAATTGTCGTACAAAAGATGTCAGCTCCGATATCTGCTGCTGAATGGACGACGTCTCTACCTCGTTGACCCTACGGGTAGGGTTACTCTCACAGAAGCCAAACTGTTGAGAATTCTCTGCCATCGATTCAATGAGTAGCCATGCTTCCCTTGGTGTCTTGTTCGCTAATGCTCCCCCACTTGCAGCATCAATGATACCCCTGTCGGACGACTGGAGTCCCTCATAGAAATATTGGATCAATAGTTGTTCACTAATTTGATGTTGTGGGCATCTAGTGCACAACTTATTGAACCTTTCCCAGTAATCATATAGAGATTCTTCAGGATACTGTTTAATACTGCATATCTCTTTTCTTAGACTTGCAACCCGGGATGCAGGGAAAAATTTTTCCAAAAACTTCTTTTTCAACTGTGCCCATGTGGTAATACTACCTGCTGGTAGGTAGTACAGCCAATCTTTAGCTGCATCCTTGAGAGAGAACGAAAAGGCTCTCAGTCTAATTTGCTCTTCAGTGACCCCAGGAGATTTTATACTAGAGCAAACCACCTCGAACTCCGTAACGTGTTTGTGGGGTTTTTCACCAGAGAGATCATGGAAAGAAGGTAAGAGGTGAATCAACCCCAACTTCAATTCGAAAGCAGTATTCTTAGCCAAAGTGGGGAATGTGATGCATAAGGGCTGGTGAGTCAGTTCCGGGGCAGTTAGCTCCCTTAATGTTTGGGTGTTGGCCATGCTTACTTCGTTTTCTACTGACTCGTTTGCAATAAATAAATGCCCTTTTTTTCGTCTCTTGGTCTCTTGCCTCCGCCTACTGACAGGTGCCGAACCTGTGCAATAATAATAGTAAAAACCTAAATACCACTAAAAGCAGTCAAAAATTAATCCTAGGTATTGGAGCAGGGACTCTAGGTGTGCAATGGGTTACTTGATTCACCCTGTTCCCGAAGAATTTGCTGAATCCGATATACCAGAATTAATTAATTGACGAAATTTACTAAATAGTAGACAGTGACAAATAGGGTCGTCTCCTCAGGGACTGGAGATATTTGTCTCTTTTAAAGTCCAATTGGTAAGAGGGGGATTTCACGGATGGGCAACTAAAAATAATTAAACAATTCAACTAAAAATAAATAATTAACTAGCACAAATATAGTAGGAAGTAAATCAGGAATAAATAAATTCTAGCCAAGGATACAACTACTCAGACACAGTCCATTTACCCGATCATTGATGCAAGAGAGGTTCACTTAATTTATTAATAGACTAGTTATAGTCGCCGACAAATTCTAACGACCAATTTTTTCTTAATTTATTGACAACCAAGGTACGACCATTGATTACTCCTAACCAAAAAATACTCCTAGGTACGACCGTAGGAATTAATTTTTCAATTGCATTAATCACTAGAAAAATCTAGCCCTAATTAATAACACGCTACGAGGGTTATTTAAATTAGATTGCATGTTCCTCTAATGTGTAAACACACCAGTTGCCACTAATATTAATCAATCAAACAATTACGGATTTAATTGACTAAATTGGCATGAGATTAATAAATCACATTGAACATCGGGCCCTTGACATTCAAATAATAAAATAATCTCATGAAAATTCAAGCAGATAACGTGCAAATATTAATAAATTGAGGAACGCGTGAAAACTAATTAGATCTCACAGATTTTCGGGACTGCGCCATCGAGTTGACCCTTGACTAGATGGAAGGCTTAGCCACGCCGCATAATTAAACCACCACACGAATTAATAGATTGCAAAGGCATTGCGTTTTCTACTAGAAAGCAAAGGATAAAAGGTGTTTTTCCCGTTGGGAAATATTGTCGAACACCTGGCGTGTGTCAGAGGCCAGTCGAAAGAAAGAAAACTAGAACTAAAACTAAAAGCTGAAACTCTCGCCGTCTGTACGGTTTTTTCTTGTCTACTTAAAAGCTAAAAGAAAGAACCAAATCTTCTCTCCAGTGGTCCCCACCCAATTGGTAGTCAAAGCTACCCGAAAAGAAGGCCTGCCGATTTTACTTCTTCCCTCTTCATCTATGTACGTTACTTTCTCCTTAAGAGCCAAATGACTAATTCTATTTCGTGGGCCTCCACCGAATTGAGAAGATGAATTACCAAGGATAGGCCCTGCCGAATTGACTCTTGTCTCCTATTGCTAGTAGGACCATTTGGTAATTTTCGGCTTCACTCCTGAAATTGATTCCAAATACCAAATATAAGTAAATATCAGCAATTAACACAATATTTGTCAAGGATAAAAGGGAAAATTAATAATAAAATTACTAACAAAATATACCCTATCAATTCCCCCCACACCTGAATCATGCTTGCTCTCAAGCATGGGGACAATTCAACTCAACAATGGCTAGCTTTCACATTATCATTGCCAATTGTGCTTATACCCAAAATTAAGATTTAGTGGCTAAGTGTCAAGACATATCTCTCCCGGTTAGCTCCTAAGTTCATAGATCTGTCCAATTCATGGCTAACTCACTTAGGAAATTCAAATATTAACTAGCAACAGTCAGTAATTAAGTCAACTGGCAACCAAAATCTCAACATTACAAACCAAGGATCGGCAGGCCAACATGATCATAAACTAACATATTTTTCACATCTGATTTTTTTCTTTTTTTTCGTTTCCTTTTTCTTTTTTTTTATTTTTTTTTGATTTTTTTTTTGGATTGCACGAATAATGCTTAGTCCCAAGCTATTCAAGTCTTTCGACGTGAACTCTGACATTTTTAGATGAAAGAGCCCAGTTGCTCAACTTTTCACAGCTCCAGGACTACTTACTCATAGACATCGCCACTTTTTGACGCGAGAGCCGACACTTGTGGTGAAGACTCCCGGTTACTGGGTGACGACACCAGCGGAGTATAGCCATACGTTATTCACCAATAAACACCAAAATACCAAGTAATTACAGATCATACCCTGCGTCATGTCCTAAATACGGAGAACTAAGGTAAACAGGAGACCAATCTACACAACAATGCCAGCAAAATATTTATATTGCCTAAACAAGTCAGCCATAAATTGCACCAAGTCGTTAAACTCAAAATATTCACCAAGACCGCATACTCTTACTTGCCACCGAAACTCAACTCATAGTATAAACTACAACTAACAATAAAAAAAAGTGAGCTGCCAACATACTCACCAAGATAAAAGCAAGAGAAAACACCCAAAAGAAATAAAGGAACAACACCTAAACAGAAAACACTCAAACTAAAAACATAGGAAAAACACCCCAAAAATGAAAACTGGAAATATCTAGCACAAACTGACCCCCCCCACACCTAAGTCACACATTGCCCTCAATGTGATAACGTAACAGCAAAAAGCAAGGAGAGGGGCAACGGTACTTCCCTGTAGTCGTCAAAACAGGGGTGGATCGGGCGCGAACTGAGGAGCAATTCCCGCCTGTTGCATAAATGCAGCCAGATTTTGCGCCATGTTATGCAAGTTGATGCCAATGTGAGTCACGCGAGTCTCCAGTCTCTCAACGGTGTTCCGGAGTTGGATCCAATCGTCGGCCGATGGGGTGGTAGGTGGCGGAGCGGAGGAAGACGGGCCAGAGTCGCCGCCCTCAGTGGAAGCTCGGGCAAAAGATGACCGAGGGGGAGGGCGTAGCGGCCCCGGGGGAACTACCTCCCAACCATTGTCGCCCTCCCGAACTAAGCCCATTTTCTCTAAGCACGGGATATCCAAAGGCTCCATTTGACAGGCTATATGCAAGTTATGGTTAGAAATATCAAATACATGAAAATTAATAGGCAAGTGAGTAATGTAAGACCCAAGAATCAAGGGGCGCTTCTTTTTAGGCAAAATGGACTTGAACTGAGACGCGAGCCAGCACCCCAGATTAACCTTAATCTTGTTATGCATGCACCATATAAAGAAAAATTCGGGCTTAGACAGAATGCCCGAACTATCTCGCCTACCCGAGAAACTATAGGCCAAAAAACGGTGGATATAGCGAGAGGCCGGGTCCTTCAGATAAGAATCCTTAGATAGACGAGGGTCATAGTTATCCCTGTCTACGGACATCTCATCCCAAATATAGCGATAACGGGAGAAAAACGGTTGGACATAGTCACATGCACTCTCAGCATACTCCCAAGACTCGGCATATGTAGGATCAATAAAACCAAGGGCCAGATTGAAGTCGGTTATGGAATGGTGGAACTCCTGACCAATTAAACGGAAACGAATGACATCAGGGGTAGAAACTGTGTAACCAGTGGGAAGGTCGAATTCAAATGTGGCATAGAACTCCCTAACTAACTCAACGAAGGCTGGGAGGTCAGTAATACGAGAATAGAGGAGCCACCCAATGGCCTCAATCAAATCGTCAAAACGAACTCGAATATTTAGGAGGCCCAGCGTGGTGGCGTCCCGATAACGGCATGGAATAATCCGCCGTTCACAAGCCTCAGTATATCGCCGCTTGTCGGCTGCCCTGGTGAAGTCCAAATGACCCCCAAACTGTGCAGGGTCAGAGATATGGATGCCTCTTTGTCGCCCAAGACGAGCCCGCCTCCCAGAGGAGGAAGGATCGTGCGAGGGGTCAGAGGCGGGAATGGAGTGCTGGGGTGGAGGGGGCTGAGGGGTTCTAGAGGTCCTAGACCTAGAAGAGGAAGACCGTGGTCTGACCATGGTAGCTAGCAAGTGACCCAATCAATAGAAAGCACAATTCAAGCACCTACAGGCTATAAAAATTACCTCAACAAAACAGCACAAGCAACCAACAAGCACTGGGGGTCCAATTTAATCAAAGGCATAAACAATACAGCCCAACCACAATAAGCAATGGAAGTGCCACAGTAGGAATGATTAAGAAATGAAAAGCAACCCTACAACTAGTACCACTGGTGCACAGACAGGAAAGAATTAAATTCAATAGCAGCAACTCAAATGCAAGAACTTTAACTTCAAAATAAGCAAGTATCTTCAAATATAAACCACAACGATAGGCAAAAGATCACAACCAGTACCACTGGTGAGTCGCAGGGAAAAAGTAATCAAAAGGCAAGCTTTTCAACAAATAGCAAAAAAGAACCTCACTATGGCAACAATTAAACACCTATTCTGTCCAACAAGTTCCCCAGAAAATGCCGAAATCACCCCCTGCTTTATCCAAATAACACCGATTATCAGATGCTAAACAACTACCATTACCAATACCACTAGTGAGTGTATAGGGAGAATTAAAGCAAATAACCAACCCAATGAACAAAATAGATTCGAACACCCAAGCAGCGCCAAAAATGAGCCAAACTTAAAGCCAGAATTAATTGGCAACTTACTCCCAAAGTACCCCCAAATATCGCAGCAGTTTAACTCAACTCTACCCAAAATTAACTCCAGAAAATGGCCAAAATCACTGCCTGGTGTATTCCAACAAGAAGCCCAAGAAAAGGTACAAAATTTTGCAATTCAGGGTTCAGAATAAGACTAATTGAGGCAGGAATTGCAATACCTCCACCTGCCAAAAATTGACAGGTGGTAACGTGCTGGGATGGACGGCCGCGAGAGGGTTGGAGCTGGTGCTGGGGTGGAAGCGAATTGGAGGTGAGGCGCGGCGAGCTTGGAGGTGGCGGCAGCTGTGGCAGAGTGACGTGAGAGAGGGAAGAGCTGATGGTGGCCGCGAGTCTGGTGTCGCACGCGGGTAGCGGACGAGCTGAGGAGGAACCGCACGCGAGGGAGAAGGAGCG